TCCCTATGGTCCAGGTGTAGTTTTTATATTCCAGATGTAGTTTCTATATTCCAGGTGTAGTTTATATAGTTACATTTTAGTTTATTTGGTTCAGATGTAGTTTCTATGGTTCAGATGTAGTTTCTATGGTTCAGATGTATTTTCTATGGTCCAGGTGTAACTTCTATGTTCCAGTTGTAGTTTCTATGGTCCAGATATAGTTTATTTTGGCCAGATCTATTTTCTATGGTCAAAGTGTTGTTTCTGTGGTTAAGGTGTAGTTTCTATGGTCAAGGCATTGTTTCTATTGTCCAGGTGTAGTCTCTATGATTCAAGTGTTGTTTATTTTGTTCAGATATAATTTCTAACAATCCAGGTGTTGTTTCTATGGTCCCAATGTAGTTTCTATAGTTCAGGTACAGCTTCTATGGTTCAATTGTAAATTATTTTGTCCAGATCTATTTTCTATGATCCAGGTGTTGTTTCTATGGTTCAGTTGTAGTTTCTATAGTCCAGGTGTAGTTTCTATGATAAAGCTGTAGTTTCTATGGTCCAGGTGTAGTTTCCATTATCCAGGTGTAGTTTCTATGATAAAGCTGTAGTTTCTATGGTCCAGGTGTAGTTTCCATTATCCAGGTGTAGTTTCTGTGGTTGAAATGTAGTTTATCTGTGAAGAAAAACAAAGAAAACACGTTAATTTATAGAAATAAGCATAAACTGAGTAAAGACGGCGGCAGAGTGAGGAGATGTGGTCAGTTTGTCCTCCAACAGTCTAAGCCTATAACAGCAGAACTAAGGGGTAGTTCAGGAAACCCAAGCCCACCCTAACTATAGGATTTATCAAAAAGGAAAATCTTAAGCCTGGTCTTAAAGGTAGAAACTTGGACAGATCTACCTCCCATTCTACTTTTAGAAACTGTAGGAACAACAAGTAAACCTGCAGTCTGAGAGCGAAGTGTTCCGTTAAGAAAATATGGACCAATAAGATTCCTGACGTGGATTCAATTCAGTTTATTTATATAGCGCCAAATCACAACAAAGTTGTCTCAGGGCACTTTACAGGAACATTCACAT